TACTACTACTACTACTACTACTACTACTACTACTACTACTACTACTATCACCACCTAACATTTATATAACATCTATTATTACTATGTGCCAGGCACTATGTTAAGTGCTTTACAAATATCTCATTACTGCTACTACTAACATTTATATAGCACCTACTATGTGCCAGACACTATGTTAAGATCTTGACAAATATTATCTCATTATTGCCACTGCTATTGCTGCTTCTGCTGCTGCTGCTGCTGCTGCTACTACTACTACTATTACTGTCTAACATTTATTTAACATCTACCATGAGCTAAGCATTATGCCAAGGGCTTCACAAATATTATCTCATTACTACTACTACCACCTAATATTTATATAGCTCGAGGCACCATGCTAAGCACTTAGAAATATTATCTCACCATAATTTATGACTACGACTACAACTACCATCATTATTACAACTTCTCCGAGGTCTTATTGGTAGCTAAGTATTAATGCTGCAACTTGAATGTTGGCCCTCTGACTTCCATTCAGTGCTCTTTTAACTGGACCATGTGTGTGGTAATAGAATACATTTCTGTGTATGCTGAAGTATTAAGCATTTTCTGAGTCTTTCCTGTAAATGGTGCTGGCTTTCAGATTCAGCACTGGATTTGGAATCAGGGTCTATAGTTGAGTTCTGGATCTTTTATTTACTACTTACATAGTTTTGGGCAATTTGATTCTCCTTGACCATTAATTTCCTAATTTGTAAAACAGGTGGGTGGTAGGTTTGAGACAGACAATCTCAAAGGTCACTTTGTGCTCTAAATCCTATGATCTGAAATAAGATTTTGGCCCTTTATTGAAACCCAGTTTTTTTTCCCCTAATTTTTTTTTCCAATAAAAAAATAAAACTACAAGTAAGAAAAAGTTTTAAGGTCAGAAGTACCAAAGCTATATACACTCAAAGCTTCCCTCTTATTTTTATTTGACATTTTATCACATGTCTTCTGGGAAAACTTCTCTTCTTAGTCTTAAACAAATAATTAAGAACACCTGATGAGGTTTCATGAGCTGCTCCTTCAGTACCAGTCTTAAAAACTGTAGTTTGTACTGGGGTAGAATATAAGAACACTGGCATTCATCAGAACCTGGGGTTTGGCCTCCAGCTGAACTGAGAGCCTGCTGGGCTCTGAGACCCACCCATTCTCTTCCAGCGTCAGAATTTCTGGAAGCCCCACTACAGCAGGAATGTCCTGGTTCAAGCTCCGGAGCCTGGAGAGAGAATTGAACCACCCTGCTCGGGCTCCTGTCGTTTCAGGCTCCGGAGCCTGGGGTGGGAGTTGAGTGGCCCTGCTTGGGTTCCTGTCTCACAACAGGAGAAGTCCCAGAACATTCATTCCTTCAAGCAAATAAACATAACAGAAGTGATGGGGATCAGGCAGTTTAGGGAAAGGTCAAGTTGTATAGATGTCTCATAGGCCGGAACTCTGCCCCCTGCTGGGAGACCCTATGGGGAATCTCTTCCTTCATTCCAAGCTACTTAGCAGAGTTTATTTAAAAAAAAAAAAAAAAAGCCAAAAGAGATGGGGAAAAAAGAGAGAGAGAGACTTTGGTGTCAAAAGGGAAGAAGAGAAGTAGCCCCCAAAATAAAGATTCCCAAATCCCCCAAACAACAACAACATATAAAACCATCTTTTACATTTTTTTCTCCCAAAAAAAAGGAAATGTGGCACTGACTTTGGAAAACTAATTTGGCAAAAAGGCAGCACTAATTTTGTTCTTGTCACACAAGAACTCCAGTGCTGAAGCAGAAGGATGGCTTTTCCCTCTGCCCCGAGCAAATCTTGCTGACATCCATAAAACTGAAGAATTTTTGCCTGGGAGTTTCCTTAAAGCCATCCCCAGAGCTGTCAAGCTACAGGGAATCTTTGCTTCTCAGCTGGTCCTATCAGACAACTGCTCTCACCTCAAGTGACTTGAGAAAATCCAGGGAAGATTCTAACCGATTTAATTATCCCCCCTGCCATTTACAGGGTACCCAACAAAGCTGTAAGTCTGGCCAGCTGCTATGAGGAATAAACTATCCCTAGTAACTTTCTTTTGAAAACCTTGGTGATTTGCTTATCTGCCCAGGCAGCCAAAACAAAAAGCACTGATTGTGAGGGATTAAAATTTTCTATCCATTTTTCCCCCCATTCCTAATGAAAAGTTCTGGTCATCTGGTCATCTTTCTGTTTTAAGCGGAGAATGAACTTTACGGTCACATCTTGTGCTTTCTAGGAGCAGAATTCTGAGTCACCAGTGATAGCTCTTCTAACAGTTACTGCTTAAAAAAATAAAATAAAATAAAAAAAGAATTTTAAAGGCCACTTACATGCAGTTATTCCTGCAAACATTTCCGCAAACCGAGGATCTCTTTCTTGGGAAAAGATTGTGTCTGCCTTTTCTACTGGCTTTCCAGTCTCGTGAACATTAGCTGGTATATTCGGGACGGGTACCTATTAAAATACAAGGAAGAAAATGACAACATTCTCACAACTTGACACAGGCAATCTCTCTGTAGTGGCTACTAATGATTGTCAATTCTTTGTCCTTAGGTTGCTCCTTCTTTTGGACATTGGTATTATTTTATTCTTTAAACAACTGTCAAGAATATTTTTTTTCCTGAGCGCTACTGACCCACAGGAAAAACTCACAGTCAAGTCAGGGAAACAACGGATTAAGAAAAACAACTTTGTGTATGTTTTTCCCCTAGAGAGAAAAAGACCAAATGCTCAATTTGTTTACTTTTAAAATTATGAAGTGGTAAAACGAAGTTATAAATACAACAAATACTCAAAAGAGACACTTCAGTTCCATGTTGTGTGTGGCCAGTTAAAAAGTACAGATGGGTGTAGAGGAGAGAGAAGGGAGAGAGGTAGAGGCAGAAGAGGAAAAAGAAATACATGATTAGGGAGAGACATATGGAAAAAGGGAAGACAGAAGAGATAACAGAAGAGATAAAGTCGTGCAAACAAGAAGCTAAGTAGATTCTAATGTGGGAAGATTAGAAAATTGTTTTGTAGCACCTTGCTTGGACTTCAAATTAAGCAATTGTTGTTACCCTTATTACTGGAAACACAAGCGAGATGATTCACTACTGTTTCCAGTTCTTCATCTGCTCCAATCTTTAAATCTGTGGTGGCTCACTTCTGAATGCTACTGCCAGAGTAGCCCACCAGAAGAAAATCATTTTCTGGCACAATAAGGGTGGCCAAAGCAACATCACCCCTTAGGAAAGATAAAAATTAAGTATAGGAATGATTCTGACATACAGCAGAGCTACCCCAAAATTCACCTGAGATAAGTCATACGATGACAATCCATCTCTCTGGTGTACCTCGAGTTCGGCCTGCTGTTGCTGAAGTTGTCTGTAAACACGGAGGGAAATAAGAGTTATGAAAAATATAAAATGAGATAATATGTGTTAGCCTTAAAAGTACTATATAAATGCTAGCTGTTAAGAAAAGGTGCATTTGGAAATTGATTACAATTTCCTCTGTTCCTCAACATGGTAAGACTTCATTTTTCTTCCAGGAAGTCAAAGGACAGGTATCTTGTAAGCTTTGAACTTTTTCTTTCTTCCCAACAAAGATAAACAAAGACAAGAATCACTCTCCTGCAATGAAACACTTTAAAGGCATTTTTCTGAATTATGCCTTCATTTTCCATATAACTACATTGAGAATCCTTTTTTGTTTAAAGGACTAAAATCACAGGATCATAGATTTAGATCCTGTAGGGACCTTAGAGGTCACCTAATACCAACTTCCACATTTCATAGAGGAAGAAACTGAGTTTCCGTAACACTAAGTAGCTTGTATCAAGACATACAAATAATAATGGCAGGGCTGGGAATCAAATGAAGGTTCTCTGACTTCAAATCCAGTGTTCTTTCCACTGAGTCACGCTTCTTTCTAGAACAGTAGGGAAGGAGAAGGTGGCAATGTTCTTCAAATCACAAGCTCATATTGAACTTTAGAATATCCCATGTTTATTAGCCTTTTCCTATTCTTTCTCTTTATGGATTAAGTCACTTGGTATCCTACAGAGTCAAGTAGGTCACTGGCAAGTTTGATGAAAACTACAATTGATCCAACCTTTTTTTGTGAATTAAGATAAAATAATTGCTCTCATCAGAAGGTTAGACACCAAAGGATGAATTTTTTTAGACTATATGAACTGATGAAGACTATATACTAAAGCGTGGAAGGTGTACAATCTATCTTATTATTTTTAATATGGTTTTGTTTTGTTTTATCTGTTTGTTTGTGAGGCAATTGGGGTTAAGTGACTTGCCCAGGGTCACCCAGCTAGTGAGTATCATGTGTCTGAGGCCGGATTTGAACTCAGGTCCTCCTGACTCCAGGGTCGGTGCGCTATCTACTGCACCATCTAGCTGCCCTACAATCTATATTATTAGGGAAGGGAGCAGCCACACTGAAGAATCACTGATCTTTTGAATTATTGAAGTATAATTATGGTAATTTTTATGCCCTCACTAAGCTAAAGAATCATATAGCATTTAAAAAAAATTTCATCCTAGTACTGTATTTCATATTTTTCCAAAATGATATCTGCTCTTGCTTTTAGCCAACAGAAATCCTACTCTTCTTTCATGGGACAGCTCAGTATTGCTGTCAGACCTTCCCAGATCCACACTGAACACTGTTTCTTTAAGTTTCCTATGTCGTTTATTGTCTATATTATTTGTCTATATTATTGTCTATATTATTCTATGTGGTTTTTAAAATAAATTTTTATTAACATCTCTAACCACTATTCTGGGCACGTAGGTGGCACAGGGTATAGAACACCAGGCCTGGAGTCAAAAATAATCATCTTCCTGAGTTCAAATCTGGCCTCAGACATTTACTAGCCGTGTGACCCTGGGCAAATCACTTAACCCTGTTTGCCTCAGTTTCCTCATCTGTAAAATGAGCTGGAGAAGTAAATAGCAAGCCACTCTAATATCTCTGCCAAGAAAACCCCAAATGGAGTCACGAAGAGTTGGACCCAACTGAAATGACTCAACAACAACATTTTCCTAGTTATAAAATGTGAGGTTTTAATGCCTAAAGCAAGAGCCAAATGGTAAGAGCCTAAGGGCCCTCTGCCTATGACTTTTAGAGCCTACAAGGCTCTGAAATCCAACCTGTCCTAACATCTTACCTTCTACGCTCTTCAAGACAACTGACATAAGCTTCAAGTTGTAAGGTAGCCACATTAACCCTTAGCATCTAGCCCTTTTAGCTTAAATACCTGCTCTGGTTTGGCCCCCAGTGACCTTTTTATTGCAATTTAGAGGTGGTCTAGGCGTATTACTTGTGTAATACCACATAGCATATTACTAACTATGACTAGTACACAAGAAGGACTATAAAAGATATTGTTCATGATGCATATTCCTGGAAAAGGAGGAATGTTGGTTAAATGCAGCAAAATGGTGAAATATAAGAGATGGACAACCGTAGGGTTGTACTGAAATCCACAAAATACTAAAAGACCCAGAGGAAGGCCTCCAGTGCATTGGTAGTTCTTCCATGGAGAAGCTAAGGAAGGGCATGTACAAGAATTGTACAAGATGTGAAGGCATAAATGGGTTGCAATCTTAATCAGTGGAGGGAGCACCTGATGCCAATGAGACAGGAAATCAACCAAAGCATCTATCTATCTATCTATCTATCTATCTATCTATCTATCTATCTATCTATCTCTCTATCTATCTATCTATCTATCTATCTATCTATCTTTTAATTTATGGGGAACAGGAGGCAACAATGGTGATGGGGATAAGCCAGCAGATTGACTATGTCTCAGGCACAGGATAACATACCATTTTCCCCCTTCTGTGTTGCCCCAAGTCCTTTCAGGGGTGTGCTGGAGTCAGCTCCAGAGTTAAATTTTTAGTGTTAACATTTATATCTCAGGAAGCAGCAAACACTACAATTCAAGACTTGATTTATCATTTTGTTGATGGTCTAGCCTTAAAAAATATTAATAATGCAGATTGAACTTAAAAATATGTCTTGCATAGATTTTCTTTCAAGAGCTGGTTGTGAAAAACTTAACAATATACTCCTCAGATTCTCTCAATAGGCCTCTCACTCCACAATAACTTTCTTGATTTTAACAGACTGCTTTCTGGCTCCACCCTTAAAGGTAGCTCTTACAAATGCAACTAGATTTCAAGTTAAAGTTAACTCTTGAGAATAAGCCCAGACCACCCAAATGGGTCAGGAGAACTATTAGAACTGGGCAGCAGCATCATATCTATTACTACCCAGTCCAATCCTATCAAACTCAAATAGAAAGTGATCCCTGAGGTCTCTATGCTGACTTAGAAAACAACAAAGTAACATTAATCTATGTTGCATTTTTATTTGTTTTATTAACTACCTCCCAACTGCATTTTAATCCGGTTCCTGCAGGCTGTGAGTTTGACACCTCCGATCAAAGACACCTGATAATAAAAATAAGGATGTTTAATTTACCTAATCTTTCAATGTCGAAGTCCCCTAATCAGTAAAATCTTAGAGTTGAGAAGGAAGTTAATAGGAAGACATACCCTTGGAAGGCTCTGAAATTCAATCCCCTTCTTAAATCTAAATTAAATTCAAGATGAGGTGGTTAGCAATTTCTCTGTAAGTCAGGAATCCTTAACCTGGGGGGAGGGGGTCTGTGAATTTGTTTTAAAAATATTTTGATAACTGTATTTTTATATAATTGGTTTCCTTTATAATCCTATACATTTTATTTTGTACATTTAAAGACATTCTTCTGAGAAGACATTCCTAGGCTTCCTCAGACTGTTAAAGGGGTATGTAACATACAAAAAGGTTAAGAATGTCTGGTGTAAGGTTGCTAGAGACAAGGCTAGAGATAGGGGATCACTACTTAGGTTACTGGAATATGGTTTACAATCAGCCTGTCTCTAGAAGGGAGACTTGATCCACCTCCCAACAAGGCAGTACTCCGAAAGGATTCTCTACATATTTAGTACTGCCTAATCTCCTTTTCTGATTCTAAAAGCAAAAAGAGAAACTGACAAATGTCAACATCATTCCCAAGAAAGTTTTCTGGATGAAGGTTACTATTCCCCTGTTGAGTTGTTCTGCCCTCCAACCCACACAGTCAAAAACTTTGAGCCCAATTAGGTCCCGCTGACTGGCCAATAACAACCTGCTAATAATAATAGCTAGTATTCTTGTAGTGCAAATATCATCTCACTTTATCCTCAGAACCCTTTGAGGGAGGTGCCATTATTATCCCCATTTTACAAATGAGGAAACTAAGAAAGAGACAGGCAGATAGAGGTAAAGTGACTCATCCAGGGTCATACAGCTGGTACATATCTGAGGCTGGTTTTCCACTCAGGTTTTCTTGATTCCTGGCCCAGTGCTCTATACACTGTGCCACAATGGAGGCTTATAAATAAAGGTAACTGAAAAGAATTTGTCTAGTGTAAGGATCAGGAACTTTCAAGGCTTTTTATCAGCAGTAGTGCCCACTGTATATATGCAGTAAGGGCTGATGATAATAAAAATAACAATAATAACAATAACTCACATTTTCTATGATGCTTTATAGTTTAGCCCAAGGGTAGGGAACCTGTGGCCTCAAGGCCACAAGTGGCCTTCTAGATCCTGAAGTGCGGCCTTTTGACTGAATCCAAATTTCACAGAACAAATCTTTTTAGATTTAGCCACAGAGAATAGCACCCCTGATAAAACCACAAATCTTTGATATAAATTATAAACTTACTTCAAACTTACAAATGAGGGGCGCTAGGTGGCTCAGTGGATAGAGCACCGGCCCTGGAGTCAGGAGGACCTGAGTTCAAATTTGACCTCAGACATCTAACACTCACTAGGTGTGTGACTGGGCAAGTCACTTAACCCAAATTGCCTCACCAAAACAAAAACAAAAAACAAACTTACAAATGAGGTAAATAATGTTCTACAAAGTGTTTTCTTCATGACCACGCTGTGAAATATATGCTATATTAGCATCCCCATCTGCAGTGACTGAGGCTCAGAGATATCCCATGACTTCTCTACTTAGTTAATAAGAGTTGGGGTTGGGCCTTGAAGCCAAGTATTATTTGCAGTCTAAGGCTCTTTCCATATTCTACCACACCATTTTTCTACAGTGTAAATTCCTATGGAGGTCCTCTTCCAAAAAGAAAGGAGCCTTCATTAAAATCGGCTTCCAAGTAAGTCACTCAATTCTCCCTCTGATCAGGAAGCCTGAAATGAATATATAATTGTTTCTTTGTTAACTTCTGCAATTTTGTTTTCTGACCTCTGATACAGACCTTGTCAGCAGCTGTTTTTGAAGGAGCTCTCCCTATTAAAATTTTACTCATTTC